TAGGCCACATGCTATTAAAATGCTGCTGACATCAACCTTCCCAAGGCAGGGGAGGAAAAAAAAAAAGTGTTTTACTTTTCACAACAAAAGCTTTCAGTGAGAACAATCAAAAGTTTCAGTGCTTCTCTGTAGAGCCACCAGAATTGTGATGTTGCTGGAATTAGTTTTTTGAACTTCCGCTTTAGTTTTTTGTTCTCCCCACAGAGAAACAAGAATATTTTATTTTTAAGCTGGAAGATTAGAAAATGTGTACTGAATTGAAACATACAGTTTAGGTTGGATGAATTTCTTTTTGCAAGGTGGGGGGGGGGGAAATCTTCCAGCTCTCATTTGTATTGCTGTTGTACACATCATTCAAATTCTGAGGAGTTTAACTGCAAGATTTGGGTATGTAGTATCATTACTGCAGTAAAACACATTCTTCTGCAGATGGGAAACTAAAAGCAATGGCTTCTAATTTAATGCAAGATAATAACTGTAACCAAAGAATAAAGAAGAAAAAAGTCTATCATAATACAGAATATTCAGCTGGAAAAATATTCTAACCTTCCCCGGGAGCTATCACTAAAAACTGCAGTATGGCATAAGAATGCAGGGGAAATGCAGGAATTGCCGTACAGTTTAACCTCGTGCTCTGTTTAATCTCATGTTCATGTCTCAAAGGTTGTCTACCTTAACACAAAGGTCGGCTACCTTAACATGCAATACAGCACGATAGGAATAGATCAGTAGATAGAGCTGAGGCTTCTGTCTCCTTTGTGTGTGGTTCAGTTGCTATACCTCGCATTAGATATAGTCTTGGTCCCTGGGCTGAATGTCTCCATTACATGTGTGAGTTATAGGTGTGTGGGGGTGTTTTTTTGTGTTTTTTTTTTTTTTTTTTTAAGAGAAGTCTCTCTGGGATCCATCTGCTTCCTGGCTGATGAGAGCCACAAACATGCTGTTTGGGACAGGGATACGTGCCTTAAACAGTCAGGCATTTTCCAATGTATGAACTAGTGTGAAAACAACAAAAGCTTCCCCCAGTCTCTTTGTGCCATCCATTTCCCCTTCCTTGCTTGAGAGGGGCAAGGGTCTGTTGGTCCCCAGCAGCACCTCTGGAAGGCTACCTTGCTTCACCCACTGTCCCCCAGGGATACCTGATCTGCTCTCCCTCTTGGGAAGGCATTGTTACTCTGATCGTGTCTTTCCTGGCACCGCATGCCCTCTTTGACCTTTCCTGTGCCTGAGCTTGTGGCTTTGTCTTCTGCCACAGCCCCCAAGAAATCACCTCCACACATTTCCTGGATTGGGGTTTCTGCCCTCACAGACATTGCCATGATTGGTTTTACTTTGGCAAACGTGACACCCTGGAGCTGCAGGCAAAGATCAGGAAAGGGAGTGTGCTTGTTTGGAGAGGTAGCAAAGGAGAACTGGCAGAACAGGTAGGCTGAAGAGCTGGCTTGCTGCCAGGAAATTGGGTGTAGAGGGAAGCTGGGTAGGACTTTAAGAGGAGTGGTTGTGGGCACAGGGGGAAACTTGGTAAGGATTAGGAAGGCTGGGTTGGAGCCAGCTGATCAAGCTCTGGAGGATGGAAAAGCCCTACTCTCCCTCAGGTAACACAAGACTCTCTGCTTCCTCCTCCTCCTGTGTTTTCCGCTTTCAGGAGTGATGACACATCTGTCTTACACTTTTGGATGAAAGCGTGATGGGCTGTCAGTGCTTCTTGGCCCATGTTCCCTCTCAGCCTTCCCTCTTACAAAGCACAAATGAAGGTGTGTAACTGTGTGGAAAAGCCAAGAATCTGAATGGGAGAGGTGCCTGTAGTGGAGCAAAAATGGGATAGCAAGAGCTGTTGGAACAAGAAAATTGTATTTGCTGGGCAGATCAGTGTGGCTTATAGCTTAAAAGATGACAGTTAAGGCAGGGGGTGAGAGAAGCTGTCCTGGTTTCGGCTGGGATAGAGTTAATTTCCTTCCTAGTAGCTGGTGTAGGGCTGTGTTTTAGATTTAGGATGAGAATGATGTTGATAACACACCGATGTTTTAGTTGTTGCTGAGCAGTGCTTACACTAGTCAAGGACTTTTCAGCTTCCCATGCTCTACCGACTGAGAAGGCTGGAGGTGCACAAGACGCTGGGAGGGGGCACAGCCAGGACAGCTGACCCCAACTGGCCAAAGGGACATTCCATACCATGGGACGTCATGCTCAGTACATAAACTGGGGGAAGCTGGCAGGGGGGGGCCTCTGCTCGGGGACTGGCTGGGCATTGGTTGGCGGGGGGTGAGCAATTGCATCGTGCATCACTTGCTTTGTATATTGTTGTTCTTCTTCTTATTATTATTTTATTTTATTTCAATTATTAAACTGTTTTTATCTCAACCCGTGAGTTTTCTCACTTCTACTCTTCCGATTCTCTCCCGCATCCCACTAGGGAGGGGGGAGTGAGTGAACGGCTGTGTGGTGCTCAGTTGCCACCTGAGGTTAAACCACGACAGAAGAAAAGTGGAATAATAAACCAGGAATAGCGTGAAGGGAGATTGTGATGCTACCGTGACCAGCACTTGGAGTTTTCTCCCAAGGATCATTGTGGCCCGCTGCAGATGAACGTTGTTAGCAAAACAACCGGCATGGCCTAAGCAGATGGGCAAGTGGAACAACTGTAGATGCGTTCTTAGTAAATGGGAGGATTATTAAAACGTTTTGAAAGATTTCTTACTACCTTCACTGTGTCTATGTCTGCATGCACATAGATAAATGTGCTTCACACAAGTGCTGCTGGTGGAGGGAGAGACTTAAATTCCTTCGTGGTTCTGGAGAACTTCCATTGGTTTGACTGAAGATGCTGCCTGAGGAGCTACTGTAGTGTGGGTATATCTGGATTAATTAACGCTCCGAATACCTGACTATTAGCATTTATTTGGCTGGAAAAGCCAAACAAATCAGCCTTGGAGGAGGAAAGAGTTTGAGCAGTGTTTTAGTTTGGATTGGCATGGAAGCTAATGTCTTTTCAGTGCCAATACAACCAAGATCACTTACGCATTAGAGTCCTTAGTGCTTCTTCCATTAACCTTTTTACTAACCAAAAGTACACAAATAGGAAAGAACCAGGATGCTTTTAGACACAGAGAGTAATAAAATAAGCCCCAGATGCACATGAGGCAGAGAAGTGCAGAGATTGTGAGGATGCAGCAGTGTTGATAAGAACTTGGTTGTTGGGATTCAGGCACTTGGTCTAGGTTAACCTGAATAATTAGTTCTGGTTGCTGTTCTCCCAGACTTACTGTGTGATGCAAGATGTGTCACATATGGTCAGATTGAAAGGTGTGCTCTTTGGTTCTTTAATGAGTAAGTTTGGGACTTTATTTTTGCCTGGACTACATGGCTTTTTATTTTATTTTTTCCTTTTTTTTTTTTTTTTTTTTTTTTTTTCCCCTTTGGCAAGCCAGTAATAGGTATGTGCTTCCATTTGTAAGGTTGTCTTGCTTGTAGAATAAGGTTGTCCTCAACAGTGATATATTGGAGGTTTACCCCAGTGGTTTTATCCTGTTTAAGTGGAGACTTAGTGTAGAAAGACCTTTTACTTTTCCTCATGTCAAGAGTTTCAGTACATGATTTGTTTTGAGTTTAGACTGTAATAAATTAAAGGTCTCTGCAACTTGACAGAGGCATGTGAAAAACAGCAATTTCTAGATGTATGCAAAAGTTAGGGTGGCATAGTGATACATATCTGGACTGCAGAATGTATCTTGAAAAAAATGCATAATTTGTTTTGTCTTCAAATGCTGCTGTTGAGATAAGGACAGAAAAGTGGTGCGTCCTTGAAAGCAGCAGCTGTATCAAGCCTATTGAATTAAATAGATTTCACTCTTGTGTGACAATATCTTGTGTAATATATAACAGACCTTCTAAAGCTCGAGGAATACTGCATCCCTGTTGACAGTTTAAATTAATCTTAGTATATTACAAAAATTAAAAATCATTATCTTGTCCTTGTGCTATGAAGCTTGTTACAAAATATATGGCTAGATGTAGTGTAAAGAAGCTTCAATTAACTTTTCTGGATGTTAATCAGATAAGCTTTAAGATTTATGATAGAACTTGAAAGTCTTCACTGTGTAAAAATGAGTCGTCTTTGGCGCTTCGGGTGGTACCTAAAGCAGTTGGTTCACATATGGCAAAAAAAAGCAGCTCTGTGTATCAGCTTAGGAGACAGCTGGTTTTGCTATAGTCCCCCCCCCAGCCAACCTTGGTAACTTTAGATAAACAATGTCAAAGACCAAAGTTGTTAGCTTATGTTTCTATTTGGAAGCTTGTTTATTTATTACTGAGAAGGTTTTGGAGCTTGTTATTATGTAGTTTGTCCTTTCATGCAGAATCTGGGCTGGATCTTTGGCCTTCTGTGGGTCTGTGTATCTACACTGATTTAAACCAGCAGAAGGTTTTGATCTAGTGGTTTAAAGTGTGTTTTAGAGATGTGCCTGCTAACTTGATAGTTAAGATAACTAACCAGGGTTGAAAGCCTGTTCATGAAGAAGGCTGGGAATCAGATAGAGACAGAGAAAATAACACTATGTAAACATGCTACTGAAAGCTGGATTATGATTCATGCAGCCAACGGGACAGAGCTAAAGCTGTATTGTTTATTTAAATTTTGTTATTTTTCTAATACTCAAATGTTTCATTTTAAAACTTTGAAGTTCTTGTCAGGCAGAGTGTGGCAGGAGAGGAGGACTTTAACACCACCTTCACCTTGGTCTAGGCTACAGTGCAAACTGGAAAAGCCTCACAGGTGAGGCAGGGGCATATTTCCAGAATACCAGAATACAAGGGCACTTTATCCATGCAGCCTCACTAGGAAAGAAGTCTCAGAAAGGCTGTTCTAGCATTGTGGTCCCTGAGGAATGGAGCCAGCCCTTCTGTAGTTGAGGGCTAATATTAGTTCAGGGTCCCGTACTTGTCTCTAGATTTTACTTTGTCTGACATCATTATTCATTGCTTCTACTTACTGTTTGCAACAGGAAGGGGAAAATATTTTCTATCTGGCTGTGGAAGATATTGAAACAGACACAGAACTTCTGATTGGGTACTTGGACAGCGACATGGAAGAAGAGGAGGAGGAAGAAGAAGAAGTAACTGTTATTCAGGAAGACGAAGACAGTGGCAACAATAAAGAAGTGCAACCAGCTGGTGAAAAAATTGCAGGTGAGCAATATGTAAAAATTAGGATAACTTGAGGGCTTAAAAGTAGTAACAAAGAAGAAAGAGAGCACTAACTGTATAGGATTGGGAACTGGGGGCTCACCAGGTTTAGTCTGAGCTCTTGTATGATTTCTATCTCTTTAATTTGGTTTGAGTTGAGGTTCTTTTCTTTGCCTAATAAGAAGCAGCCAGCCCTGTGAATTGCTGAGTGAATGAGTGAGCCTAGATTTCATGAGAAGTTATCGTTAATTTTTGAACTAAAGATGGAGTTAATTTCACCGGACATATAGTCTATGGAAGCTAAGTTTTTCATCTAAGAGGGGTAGTTTCCCTCTTACTTAGATGGGAGAGAAATAAACCTTTTCGTAAAGCTGTTCAGCCAATCCTAAGGTAAGATGTTTAAGAAAAGGTAGGTGACCTGAGCTGTCTGGTGAATTCTCAGCATCTTCACCAAAGTAGAGACAACCTGGATGACTAATTTAGGCTAACAGCCTAAGTCACACCCAACTTAATACTTTGCATCCATTTTCAGTAATGCTGGTGGTAATCCACTCAAGATAGGCTGTCTATAATCCATTGAGAGACAATGTCTTTTGTTAATTTTGTGATGCCGTTTTGCATAATCTGTTTCTGGCAGGGAGTCTCTCTTAATATAACCAAAACATTCCCTGAAAACTATTCCTTTACTGTTTCTGCCTCCAATCATGCAGATCTCCTCACCTGTAAAGAGGACCATGCATGCCCAAACTGTGAATCCAGTTTTGCCAGCCAGGAGATTCTAGCTGAACATCTTCAGACCTTGCACCAAAAACCCAGTGAGGAAAAGGAATTTAAGTGCCGAAACTGTGGAAAGAAATTCCCTGTTAAACAAGCTCTACAAAGACAGTGAGTAGAAACAGGAGTGTTTGTTCAGGGATCATTTAAATTAATTTAATTCAATCATTTATTTCTCTTGGCTTAATCACAATTTAAGCTTTAATTTTTATGCTTATGTGTTTGTACCCTTACCCTTTACATTAGTCTTTTAATATGTTAATTTCTTGTATTTGATGGAGACTTCAATTTGAATTGCAAAAATGTCGCTAATTTTTTATGTTTTAAAATCATACACTGCCAACCAGATCAGAGCTGCTGTTTGGTGCAAAACCCTTGGTCTCCATCAGTTTTTGTCTTTTGTTGTTTATATATTTTTTGCTTGCAATTAAATAGATATATTACTTTTTATTATATATTTAATTACTGATAGTACATTAAATGCTTAAGTGATTATAGATAGTACATTTAATCTAACTCATACTGGAAAGAAACAGACTCATATTGCATAGAATGCACTTAAGGCTGCTCTTGTAATAATGGAAATAAATAAAATTACATAGCAGAGAAATATTTGGTGGAGGCAATTAAATATTTTCTCTTGAACTTAGACTTGGTCCTTCTAGTCTATAGTGGAAGTTGGATTTGTGCTGTATAGCAAGTTGAGTAAATTTTTACATCATCCATAGTAAGATTAATCTGTGTGAGGATACAGCAGTATGATCCTGACTCTTGCTGTTTATGCATTTGATTAGTCCCACTAAATTCCAGGAGACTTCACATATGAAAGAGATTACTCACCTACTTAAAGATTTGTAGAGCTGTATATATGTTTTAAGCTACTGCAAGCCTGTGTGAGTTGTAGAATGTTCCCCTTAATTTTTTTTTTTTAATTATTTTTTATTTTTCTTTAGCGTACTTCAGTGCACAGAGAATATCAGCCCAGGAGACTCTTCAAGAAGTTTTCAGTGCTCTGTTTGCAATACTTCCTTCAGCTCAGAATCGAGGTTTTGTGTCTGAGTTACTGGACTGCTGTCATATCATTGCTGGCCTCCCTTTGCATGTTAGCTTTCAAGCTTGTTAGTTTATGTGAATCCTAACAGTGAAAGAAGTCAAATGCTTTCATTCCTGTTTGCTGTAAGTAATGCATGAGGTGGCCTTGGAACTCTGGAGTGCAGCATGCGTTAAGCTCAGAGTACTTGCTGTGTGTCTGGTTTCTGTAGATACTGCTTTATGTGTTGTTTTTTTTTTTTTTAACTGGTTATCCCGTATAGTTACGAACAGCACAAGGAGGCATGCAGAGGGGATGCCAGATTCATATGCAAGGCAGATAGCTGTGGCAAGAGATTCAAGAGTAAGGATGCCCTGAAAAAACATAAAGAGAACGTTCACAGTGGTAAGAAAGAGTTTAATGTTTCTTCGGGGGGAAAAAAAAAACCTCTAACATGTTCCTAGTCTTAAATTTGCAAATCAGAGTAAACCTTGTCTTTGGTTTCTTCTTTAATGGATTCATCTGTATCAAAAAGAAAATTAAGAAGTAACTAATTGCAAGAGTAACTATTCCTCCTCCCCCAGGGAGAAATTACTGTATACAAGATGAATCATTAGTCTACTGCAGAAAATGTAATAGGAATCTGGGGAAGTTTAAACGAGGCAAATAATAGATAAAGCAAAATATTTCAGTAGTGAGGAAAATCAACCACTGGCACAAACTGCTACAGGAAGTGGTAAGTTCTTGATATTTTAGTATTTTTAGGGCACAATGGGACGTCTTTCTGGAAGATGTGCTTCACAAACGATTAGGCTTGATGAGGGTATTGCATAAAATTCTATAGCCTCTGTTGTGCAGGAAGCCAGACCAGACAATCCACTAGTCCTGTTAGGCCCTAGCATTTTTGTATCTGTGCACTGTGAATCAATAGTTTTCAATCAAACTTCACTCTGTTTTCATGAAAGGGCAAAATACTGCTCTCAGGTCCACAATGCAGATCTCAGTTCTGGCATCCTGCTCTCTCTGCATGTCCCCTCTCAATGTCAATGAAAGATCAGTAAGTGGGGACAGCAGAATACCAGAGTGCAAAGAAAACAGTCTTTAGTTGATGATGACAGCACTGAGATGCTTTGTAAGATTTTCATTACATGAAATCTCTTCTGCCAAACTCTTACAGCGTACAGAAACCCTTCCATAACCATACTTATAAAAGATTATCTCCTTTTTTCAGTATCAGTAAGAATTTTTTCCATCCATGAGCATTACTATGTTTAGGCTTAGCTTTGGTCAGTTATGTAGTGGTATACAAATTCCACAATTCTCTTGAATGATCGCTCCAGACACGACTGAAAGCAGATGCCTGGAGGATATTTTTGCTCTGCCTGCACAACGAGCAGAGCTTTTATTTTACCACTTGGGAGTCATAGAAAGCACAACTGGTGTCAGTGCAGGAAGGAAAATGAACTACTACTGTTGAGGGACACTTCTAGAATTCCTTCCTGCTTTGCGTTACCTGGAGGCAAGAGAAAGCAGAAAGGATTGTTACATGTGTTGCCCGTTACGCAAAGCTATGAACAGATATTCACTATCACCTTTCTCTCTTCTGAAAAGGTCTCATTTTAATGTTCTTGTAAGTTGAAGTACGAAGTGTATTACTGTATTTATGCGCATATCAGTGTATATATAAATACTTATCATAAGTTTTATAACAGCAAATGCATATGTGAGATTAAGTACTTTTTCATGCTACAAATTTAAGTATTGAACCAATCAATTGACAGGGTACATTGTAGTAAGAAGAATCAACATAATATGGATTCTTTAGGACAGCAAGAGCAGGAAAGATATAGGATGCTGAGAGTCTGAAAAACTGAGCTGAAAGCCATCTAATAAGTTCATTTATGATCCATACTTCCTCTGTGCTTGACTAAGCAGTACCTACCTCCTCTTTTGTTCTGTGTCTGTTCTTTTTAGTGTTCAGTGTAATATGAACATTTTTTTACATAAGCTAGGAAATATCTTGCACGGGCATGTAATTAAACAAAGAATTAGGTTTGTGGTGGCTTTGTCTTGCAATAAAAAGCTTTGTGCGTTACTAAAATGAATTTCAAAAGGTAAATAATAGATAAACCCAATTAAATGCTCTGTCACTCTTTAAAGCAACTGTGACAGGGGAAGGAAAATACATCTGGTAGCTGACCTGTAGCTTGTTTTGTAATTTACATTTTAGACGAGGTTTGAATTCATGGTCTGGTGCTAATACAATTTCCCTGTCTTGTTCAGTTAAAGACCATTAATGATATATTGTTTTGTATAGTAGAATGCTTAATGCTTTCTGAATAAAGAAAAATGGGAAATGGTAGTTTTGACTTCAGTTTGGGATCTGTTTTGTCATTGCTGCACTAACTCCTGGATTGACTTCTTGAAGGAATCAGCTGTTCAGTTACAAAGTGAGTTGTTCTTGGTTGTGAATTGTGCTCTTCATATTGGATTGGTGATGTGTGATAACATCTATTTGAAGGGTTTTTTCTTTATTGTTCTAGTTTTCTTGATTTACATTCCATCAGTAACTGGTTTGTTGGACACCCACAGAGAACTCCTGATATGAAACACTTTGAAGATGGCATAGAAATGTAAAAATCTTATGTCAGTCAAATGACCTGTGAAAAGTCACAGACTCAGTGGAAATATTTAGGTTCTTTCTTAGCACTTCCTTTTTAAGATGTTGGTGGTATTTTGTTTCTGTTTCAGGAAATTCTAGGAAGAAGCTGATGTGTTCAGTGTGCAATAAGAAATGTTCCTCAGCAACAAATCTCCAAGAGCATCGAAAGGTCAGTAAGATGAAGGCTAACCCACAGCAGGCTTTGACTTCACTAAGATGTGAGACTGTGGTGCTTAGGTCACTTGAAAGCTGCTGTAATGCAAACCTTTGAGTAATCTCTTTCATGGTTACAAAACCAATGTATTTTATTGTGGGTATTTATTTTTGTAATCACAATTGATTAAACCAAAAATCTTCCTGAACTTTTAATGCATCTTTTACCAAATACAAAGATGTTGGTGCTTCTGTCATTTATGCATTCCAACATTAAGTCAAAGTTGCCTGCTGTTCTTCAGCATTCTTAAACGCTAAGCTGAATGTAAAAGTATGTTATGTAATGATAGGATACATACAGACCATAAAATAGGTTCATGAGCCTTCGGTTTTTGTACAAAATACAATCAATCTTTCTTATTACTTTGTGACATAATAGTAAGGGTGTTATTTGTAATTTAGTTACGCAGTAGTAAAAATTTCTTCCTCAAAAACAAATTTTTAATGTCTTTTTGTTTATGCACATAATCTTTTATAACCAGAACAGGAGGGGTTAACGGTTTGAAAAGTATCTACTGGAAATAAGGGGGTTCATATAGAAATACAGATGGACTATGAATGTGAGATTCTGAATCCACTATACCCAAAGGAAGTCCCTGCAAGATTAATTTGATAAATCGCTAAAACCCAGGAGATTCTGTTTTTACAAAAAGCTACATTGTACTGTTTATCAGATTATCTGTAAGTCTTTAATAATGCCCTAGTTATAACCTGAATCCATTGAGGATATAGATTATATCAATTAAAATATGTTGTTGCAAAGGAAATAGTGGGGCCCCTCCTTTTTAATTTGTTTTTCTCTTTGCTTGTATTACTATGCCCTGCATTTCTTGTCTAACAGGGCTATACTTTGTTACTCCTCAGACCAAATCGTGGTATGCCTTGCCACATATAAGTACAGTTTTCACGCATCAGTGCACCTTATGGTGGCCCTGAAAATGCGAAATACCATGGTTAGTGTGTCCATTTTATTAAAGTGTTTGGTTTTTTTCAGTAGTTGTAATTCTGTGCAGACATTATGACACACACTAATGAGCTTTTCAATTAGCATTGATGGTAGGTCAGTTGAGCACTTATTCATCTTAAGAATCACCATGAAGATTTTGTGCATAGAACTTCTTTATTTCCTTTTCTTGATTGGCTCCTCTTTTAAGACGTCCAGAAAAAAGATATTTCAGATTCATACACCTACATCGGATAGTGAAGAAGATTGCATGTAGGGCTCATGCCTTCTGTTTGTTTTAATTACTTTGCTTTTGTAGGAATTGGTGCGGGATCCATCACCAACATTGCCAAAAATATTTAGACAGGCAATGAAAACAGTAAGAAAATAATAGGTGAAACAGGGAGGAAAAGAGATTCCCCCCCCCATTTCCTGTCAATGTAAAGAAATAAAAGTAGAAAATAAAAAGGTAAAGTATAGGAGATAATAGAAAATAAGCCCAAACAACAGAAAGAGAAATCTGACAAACACAGAGAAAGAATGTAAAGAGGGTGGCTATACAGGAGATTGAGATCTGTTTACACTCTGAAGATATGGTCGTTCAGATCTGTAGCTTTCATGTCATCTTTGATTTAAACCCATTTTTAGCTTTGAGTCTCTTGCGGATTGCTTGTGTCTTAAATGTCTAAAGATAAGCCCTTTCTTAGCCATGCACAATTAAACTTTGCTGTCATTATCTTCTGTCCCTTAGTTTTTCCAGCCTGTTGCTTGTGTCATGCTAATTTTTGGTGGCATGGCCTTTTTTTTTTTTTTTTTAAAATTGTTGTTTTTTTTTTTTTTTTTTTTGAAATCTCCATAAATTCAAGGAAATGTAGGGCTGGAAGAGACCTCAGGAGGTTTTCTAGCCCATTATGTTTTGCAGAGGGGGAGTAAGCATGTACCTAAATCATCCTAGATATGCGCTGTCTCATCTCCTGAAAAGTTCCACTAAAGAAAATTCTACCACCTCCATAGATGTCTTTGTATTCTGACTTTCAGCTTTAGTGCCATCAACTTTTTTGAATGTGTTCTTTAGTCCAGTGTTCGTTTTTTCTGATGTCCTACTTAAATCTTCTTCTTTACTGCAAATTGAGTTAATTGCTCTTTGTCTTATCTGAGAGAATGCCAAGAAAAATTCACCACTGTCTTCTTTGTAACAATTAGCATATTGCAAAGTTGTTATGAACTCCATTTGCAATTCCTAGGCTGTACAAACACAGTTATCTCAACCTTTCTTCATGCATCTGTTTTTCCAAACTACTTTTTCTCTTAGTAAGCTCTTTCTTCCTGTGGATTCTCTGTTTTTCACATATATGCTTCTTGAAGTCAGCTGCCCAAACAAGAGGAGCAGTGATGCGTAGTTGAGCCCTTGGTAGTGCCAAGTATAGTGGAATGATTGTCCTGAGTTTATTAATACAGAGAAAATGTCTATTAATACATCTCAGAATGACAGTGCTTTCTAACAGCAGCATCAATCTCGTTATTCATAGTTTGTTTGGAATTCATTAATGTTTTCTGTAGTGGTTATTCTGCTTCCTAAGTATTGCATGTTTTGGAGCTTCATTCAGAGTGTGGAAATCTTTGGGATTCTGATCTTGTCTTCCTTAGTGATTACAGTCCTACCCAGAATAGTCTCATCCACATTTTTTTTATTTTCTATTTGATTTCCAGAACTACTTACCGTAATACAACCCTCCTGTGTGATGCCTACAAAACTTAACAACAGTTATGACGTTGATCCACTGATACTATTGCTTTTTGTGGCGCTCAGTATCTTTTTGTTTCCCATTCTGCCTGTATCCACCAGTTCTCTTTTGTCTTATCCTCCAATTGTAAAGTGACATCCTTCTATCTGACGTTTATAGTAGTCCATGATTTGGGCTGCGAAGTGGTATGATAGTCTAAAAAAAATAAATTCCCAGCAAACACAACTCAGGAAATGCTCTACAGGAGCTTACAGAAGACTGGGTAATAGAATGAAAAAGTTTGTTGTAAAATCTCCTTTCTGCAGGTTTGTGATGTCTACTGCCAGAGCAAATGAAACACCATCTGAATTACATGCTGATACTACGTTCTAAAGTTTAAGTAAAATGCAAAATTCGGTCGTTCAACAATGATAATAGTGAGCAAGCAAGCGAGGGGAGCGTTGTCTTCATTGATGCAGATTCTTGCTAAAGGGTTCCTTTTGTACCTTTGAATGTAGGTGTCTCATGTTTTGGATTTGAATTGCTCACAGGAACTTAAACATGAGCATATATACGTGAATAGCACAGGCTGCCAGGCCTTTCCCCTGAGGCTCTACTGCTCTGTAAGTGGAAAGGGAAGAAAATTTCAAACAAATCCCAGCGTTGCTGGTTTCTTTTCCCAGGATGATGCAGTCAGAATTGACGGCGCTACATTTTCAGTACTTGTAGGTAGACTGGGGGGGTATGTCTCTCTCTGGCTGTACAGCTGCGGGGTGAGTTTCTGACTCTTGTAGGCCGGTGTTTTCAATGGAAAAGTAGCTAATTCCCCTGTTAAAGAAGATGATTAAGGATACCTTTGAGTATAAGGCAGTAAAGCTTTTTTGATTTTGGAAAAGGTCAGAAAACAAATGCCTGTATGAAACGCAGGATTGTGCTTCACTGGTAAGACTAGTTTGTGCTGTTGCCCTTCTGGATTTCTTAGCAGATTTCTTACGTGAATCTGTAAGATTCCATTAAGAGGCATGCTGTAGCACAGTCTGCTGGAGAGAAGATGACAGAACCAAGAAGGATCCTACTCATCATTTGTTCTAAGAGATTGAGAGTGTTTTATTGTTGATGAAAAATCCTTGATTCTTTCTTAACTTTCTTTGTTGTAGAACTGGAATTCCTGCAAAATTATAGTGAGGAGAGTCACTCTTAAATATCATCTGTGATTCCCCCCCCCGCCTTTTTTCACCTGCCAGTTCCAAGTGTCTCTATGTTGGGTTTTTTCCTGCCCTTTTTGTTCAACAGTGGGCAGTGTTTTGTTCTACTGTGCAACCTTTATTTTTCACAATCACTATGAAAGCCGTAGAAAGGTAGAGGGAACCAAATTTTGAACACCGCTTTAAAATTGTCAATAACATTTAATAATTTCAATCAGATGCAATATTCTCATATCCTTGCTCTGTCAAAGCACTGCCTTCCAACAGACAGTCTCATCCAGTTCTTGGAGTGGTAGACTGAAACTCAATTTAGTTTTTGGAAAAGCTGATCATGGATTACTTGTATCTTCAAAGTTTTAGCTCAGTTTCACCCCCAAAACTCTTTTTTGAATGACCTTTTGCTTTTCAATAGACCTCATGAAAACTTTAAGATCATCAGTCCTGTAAGATCGTCAGTCCTGTAAGTGAAGGAGTACATTTATCTGAGCATATATTAATCTTGTTCAGAAGCTCGCTGTTTTGTATAGCACTTAGCAAGTTGTTTTCTGAAGGTGTAGCTCTTCAAATGCCTATGAAACAATCGTAAGTATGTTCTGACTTTAATGTAACAGAGGCTTATGTTGATAGCTGTTACAGCCCCCTAATGAGACTAATTTTGTTATGGGAATAAATCATTGCACGAGCATTTGTCTGTGGTATTACAGCCTGTATACTCATCGAGCATGTTACTTGACAGGTTTTCTTAAAATGAAAATCCTTTTGAATATCGTTATTCATAAAAATACTTGCTATATTTTATTACTGTTGTTTTACCGTGTAATTGTGCACTTTTCTAAAGAACTGATTAAAGAGTGCCAGCTATAGAATATATGCTTGATAGCTACAGCTATTTAATGCACGTGCACACAAGCCTGTGTCTGATTCTTTTCTAAAGAATTGATTAAAGAGTATCAGCTATAGAATATATATGATAGCAATTGATTAAAGAGTATCAGCTATAGAATATATATGATATCTGTAGCTTTTTAATGCACATGCATGGAAGTCTGTTTTGACACAAATTTATTCAATGAGACTGTTTATTAAACAATGCTCATAAGTTGAGATCAGACATCTGTATAGTGTTAAAGCACAGTCTGGGTTCTGATTAAATATTCTGTTTAAGAATACCTTACAAGTTATTTCAAATAATTGTGTTGGGGGGGATTCTGGTAGCACTTGGTTGCAGAATTATGTAAACTTCAGTCAACAATCTAAGTAAAAATTTAGATCTTTTGGGAAGGGATAGACTAGTAGATTGCGTGTGCGTGTAAGAGAAATTAATCTGAAATGCAGCTGGGTAAACAGAGTATTTAGAATGAGTGTCTTCATTTGAGCTTACCACCTGATTCTGTACGAGCATTTCGTTAAGCATCACTGTCCAAAGCGTGCAAGTTTGCAGAGATTGTAGGAAATGGCATAACCGCTTAGTTTATTAAAACATTTAAATTGCTCTAAAGTTAGTTTGTGAGTAGCAGCATAAAACCATGGTGAGGCAGAATACTTATGGAGAATCTCTTTTTGGTGGGTTTTTTTGTTTGTTTAAGTGGAAGTCTTAGTTAAGCTTCTTTACTGTGCTGTCTGCAAATGTTTTTTATTAGAGTATTTGTGTTGAACCATTGATATTTATTATTTTTAGCTGCTACATTCTCCTACAGAAAGTCTATAGAGTTCTCCAAAAAAGCTTTATGAAATGTGATCTCTACCCGGAAGTTTTGCTGTCTAAGGCTGCAGTTCCAAAAAGCTGAAATGTATGTTCAGTTGCACTGTAACTAGGTTGAGGGGAGGCTGCCGACGGCAAATGTAATACAGAGTGGAAGGTGAACGGTAATCTTGACAGGTGGAGAACTATCTGTGTGTTGTGATTTTTGGGAACAATAAATAACACAGGATTTTTTTTTTAATTATCAGAAGTTGCAGCTCTCAACTGCCTCTTCTGTTTTTCCAACATTTAATCCTGGATGACGTTATGTGCTGTGATGTTGAAAATCCTGCTAATGCTTACTGCATTTACAGTTTAAGAGATGCTACTGCCCCTCCACTGTCTTGCCTCTAAAAGCTTTTAAGAGAAACAATCCTGAAAGAGTTGATAGTACTTGTTTTTTAAAATTCTTAACAGCAGTTATGAAGGAGTTAACTGTGTTATTTTTACTTAAGTCTTATTGACTAGAAGGAAATGTTCTGAAAAGGTATTCTGCATCTGTTTTTTTAATGCTTTCATAATAATGATATTTTAAATGGATCTGATATTGCAAATTTGCATAACCTATGTTTCTAAATATAGTTTTAGTGATAATTTTTTGTTTGCAATTGTGAATGTTTATTTTTTGAGAGATACTGTTGTTTACCAAGGGACTAGCAAGGGGGAAATCACAGAATATTCATGAGTATTAGTATAGCTACTGGCTAAGAAATAGTTATGGTCTGTTAGAGAATTTCTGTATATGTAAGATGTGTGATCTTGTTTGAGACACATATTTAATTATCATTAAACACTCATTTTGCAGGTCCATGAGATCTTTGAGTGTCAGGAATGTGACAAGAAATTTATTTCTGCTAACCAGCTAAAACGCCATATGATAACTCATTCAGGTAACGTGCAAAAATAACACAAACCTATATATGTGTGTATATGTATTTAACATACATTGAATTTTACCTGAATTAGTTTCTTATAGAAGGCTTGATGAATTCTGTGTTGTCCTGAGCTGTTCAAGCAAATCTCAGGTTCCAAGGAAACCATCTAAGCTATTCTTTCTAAGCCTTTCAAAAATCCAAGTGTAATGCTGTAGTCTTCTTCCTATTGCTGCTTTGTCAAGCTATTTTTTCATGCTAGCTGGGGTAGATGATGTCAGTTAGCTGGGATGGGGCAAAAGGTTGCTACTTGGCTTGTAGAGGAGGTGAAGAACCGGTGGTTGAAATTTCACGTTGAAGAGAAGAGGATGTGAGCTGGGGGTATGCTGTCAGACAGAGATCTGTGGTAAGAAGGGAAACATTCATTCATGTGTATGTATGTGCATACATATAAGTGGACTCATGTGCACGTAGTTTCCAGTCAGAGGAAAGCAGCTCATACTCTACAGCATTTCGTAGACCACACACAAATATTTCATTGTGCCTGTCCTCTGCCAGAACAGGTCACTGTGAGTGGGGAGTGGCCTGTCCGTAGGTTTGGCAGTATGACACAAATTGGCTCTGCCAGGATTTCTGATCACTGCAATCTAGTGTTTCTGTGTCTTTCACCAGTGATTAGAAACATCAACCAACACAATGGAAACACAAACATTGTTCTGTCAAATACATTAGCATTTAAAAAATGCAGGTTTTTACAGCTGCACAGGCTTATAATTGAACTATTTTCTTGGTATCAGTCCGCACCAAAAGCTCATTTCTTGTAACATAATCTGTATCTTAGAGGCTCCTAGCTTTCTTTTGACACTTTTGGATGAGCATTAATGTAGTTAAGTTGCAGTCACCAGTTGAAGCATAAAGGCTTTTTGCATAGGAACTTTTGGGTTTAGAAGCTAATATGTATATTGTTAATTAAGTTTTAAAACATTTAAACTGTCATGCCCTCTTTCACATTTGTAATCTGGAAACAGAGTTTTCCTCTTTGAAGTCATTCTCTTTTGATTTAAGCTAATTAATCAGAATTTAGTATTAGCAATGATTATTGCAAAGAATGTGCCAATTTCTTGAGATACACCATGGCTCATCTTTTGTGAAGTGACTTAACTGTCTAACATAAAGGGCATTAGATGTCTTTCTAATTGGTTTAATCTTAATTGGGTTGACTTAATTGCAAAAATCTCTCTGAGGAGATGACTGTCTCTGCCTTTCATCTTCTCCCCCTGTATAAACAGGAGATTAAATGTCCCCCACTCATTTTCTGCAGAAAAACGCCCCTACACCTGCGAGGTTTGCAATAAGTCCTTCAAACGACTTGATCAAGTGACTGCACACAAAATAATACACAGTGAAGATAAACCTTATAAATGCAAGCTTTGTGGAAAGGGATTTGCCCACAGAAATGTTTACAAGAATCACAAGAAGGTAAAGCACTCTGCTGTTGTTGTTTACAGGTCTGCCAGCCTCAGATTTGCAGATTTTTTTCTTTTAAGTGGTTCATCATTAAGCTCTGGCATGCTTATAAACATGGGATTAAAGTATTGGAGAATGTATTTTTTAGTGTTCTTTGTTATATCCAAAATCTCAAAATACTAAATGAATTCTAGTAAAAAAAAAAAAGTTAAATAAGCAGAAGGAAATCATAGTTGCTTGGTTAAAAGCATCAAATAAATCCCCATTTTGACTCTTCTGTTTTTTTTTTTTGCGTGGTTTGGGTTTTTTTTTTAAATATTAGGTTATCAAGTTCAAAATGTAACTGATCTAAAATGTCTTCAAATTTTTTGCTTTTTAAAAAAATGCCATATTTGAATAAAACTAAGTGTAGTCCTGTTGCAGTCATTGTTGGACTTAGCAGCAGATGCTTTCAAACTATACTGGATTTGCACTGGGTAGTGTTCACACATTAAACCAACATCAGAAGAAATGTTACCTGAAAAATAGGCTCATGAAGGGATGCTCTGCTTCTGTTGATTTAAGCTCAAATCTGCTTGGCCTAATTTCTATAATGCCTGTCATTATTTTTAACGTGGGGTTATATTTTTAATGGCAAGGCTATATTCATGACTGCTGTTTCAGAATTAGAAGACTGTAAAAAAGAAAGAGGAAAAAAAAAATTACCTGTCTGATTTTGTGTCCAGTATTTGGAACCCTTTGCTCTTTTTTCTTTTTTTTCTTTACATTTTTTAAATACCTCCCCTTTCTTTCCCCCTTTTTGATGAAACTAATACACCCATACTTACAAGTCTTTCGCAGTTTGGCTCATGTTATATGCCATCTGGGAATTTGGCACAGGATCTTTGCACCATCTCTTGCACTTTCAGCCATAAATCATGTAAGAGTAATAATAATACCTCTTGTAGGATGAAATGGTGATGGCTGTCTAAAACAGAAAGCATGCAGAAACCTGCTGAAGGACAAGATTAGCTCCCATATATGCTGTGATTGTATCTTATGTTTTAGACTTTATTAAGGAAATGGGGCAGAATCTCACAAATTGGATATATTCTAAGTAAAATGTGTAAAATACTATCTGGAAAGATACTTCCATATCTTGAATACTTTTTACAGGTTTCCTTATGTTAATTTGTAGTTGATGACTGGTAGGGAGTTTGGGCTGAAAACAGACTTCAGGATTAAGTATGAATGAGTAAACACTTTGACCCAATTCTGTGTTTAAAGCAGCAGTGCCACTAGCATAAGCAAGGATTAGATGCTCCACTTAATGGGAAAAATATTAAAATTTAGACAGAATCAGTGAGTACCTACTTTTGACAGAATTCCTTAAAGCACGTTGGAATACTTATTTCCCAAACTTGTTTGTTCATAGTACTGGCTGTAAATCAACTCTGTCCTATAATGAAAGAAACTTATTCCTGTGTTTACATAAAGTTTACCCAAACAGCTGTGAATATTCACCCATCCACATTTAGGTCTCTAATATCACTTGCCAAATGAAGAGATGAGCATGAGAGACAGGAGACTGACATAGATGTCCTGAATTGCTTTCTTAAGCACACCTCTATCCATTGAGTAAACAGTGTAAACAAGGAGAGGTAGTAGATAACAGAGGGGAGTATGGATGTGTGTACACAAAAGCAATTTTAAGGTGTAGGTCAAGGATGTGGTGGTTTGGGATGCCAAAATAGTTTCAAGTGCCATGATTTTGGAAGGGCTGCACAGCTACTAGGGGAAGAGGACGATAGTTCTTTTGCTTGTTCACAAGAATGTTGATCCAGTAACAGTGGAAATTTAAACCTTTATTGTGTATCATACTTCTATGTATTTCTTCAGCTCGGGTTTTTAATGATTCTTTAGATGTCTATTCCTTTAAGACGTCCTCCTAGGTTTCATTTTCTTTTGGAGGAAAAAAAGTTGGACTCTGAATAATTTCACAGTGCTTTCTTGAGTTCCAGGGTGTGGTTACTGTGCTAGTAGCAGGGAGCTTAGAAACCTGCAGTAGGAATGATGGGTACTTCTATGTATTTCTTCAGCTCGGGTTTTTAATGATTCTTTAGATGTCTATTCCTTTAAGACGTCCTCCTAGGTTTCATTTTCTTTTGGAGGAAAAAAAGTTGGACTCTGAATAATTTCACAGTGCTTTCTTGAGTTCCAGGGTGTGGTTACTGTGCTAGTAGCAGGGAGCTTAGAAACCTGCAGTAGGAATGATGGGTATAGTAGTTAAAAACACTTAAATCAACAGTTTAGTAGTTGTGTGGTTACTGTGCTAGTAGCAGGGAGCTTAGAAACCTGCAGTAGGAATGATGGGTATAGTAGTTAAAAACACTTAAATCAACAGCATTTAGCAGAAAAGATGCTTTCAAGTTTGATAGCAACATGCTTGGAAAAACTCTTTGGGTTTTACAGCAGAGGTACATACTTTTTATTTATAATATGGAACAGGATACATATACATTTTGTGCCTTTGAATTCTTGTATTGTGTTTTAGATGGAAACTTGTTGCTGTTGTTTCTGTGATTCCTTTATAGGGGTTATTTAATCTGATTTTGTGTTGGAAGTATCAGAATAAAAATGGCTCCCACAATATGTGCTTTTAAATGTTTTTCAGATGCGGGTGAATGTTGGGTCATTTCAGAGGTGCAGAAGCAGATTAGTTCCTCACATTTCACGGGATTTCACTGGGAGATAGACAGTGGAGTTGCTAAGAGTATATCTGCTCTGTTCAGTGGAGCATTGTGATGTGAACCTGAACTTAGCACTCATTATGCCCTTATAGCTACAGGTCTGAGAGGCAGGAACTGTTAGTCTTCCTGTGGTACCTCTCTGATGTGCTGCTTCTGCATACAAGTACTACACTGCTCTGTGTTAGGTGCATGTGCAAGCTTGCTTTGTCGCTTGCTTGGAGATGTCAGCACTGGGAAGCATTATGCGATGTGGAACTAGCTCAGATGTCTTTTGAAAAAGCTCAGATTATGTGACTAAGTGATCATATGAAGAATACGGTTCCATTTTTGTGAGAAGGGAAGAGAATAGTATCTGAAATTAAGAGGCAAATGTCATATTGGATTGTGCTACAGATAAAAGTAGTCACCTTTCATCCAGGTTAGATTGGATGAAGGTGCATGTTCTGTGCCATATAATGCAGATTACTTCCATACAGGAGAAAGTGAAGTTTTTGTTCCATCTGCTCCTTTGTTGCTATGTATGGAGGATGAGTTCAGAGAATAAAATATGAGGATATGACAGTGAGCAGAAATAGGTCAGCAGACACAGGATTTTAAAGGGTTTATGGTTAATCCAGGGTTATTTGGTCCTGAGGAGCATAATGAATTGAAACAACTATATTCCCTCAGTTTCTCTATTGGGAATAAGTAGCCTTGGGCTGGATTTAAGCCTCCACAAATGCTATGGTAGGAAAGGCTCCCATGAAATACTCCATAAGAGCCCATCCTCAGTTGCTTTGATCGTATGGCTGTCCCCTGCTCTGACTGAATGGAAGCCATCTCTGATCTGGAACCTATTAGTAGGATAAAAAAGGACAGTATTAAAACTAATATGCTTGTTTGGGGGGATACCTCTCCTCATTAAGATTTGCATGGCTTTTTGTAATAGACCTAGCTTGTTTCTGGACCGTTCACAAAAGAGGCGGGTGATCTGTGTACCCTTGCACGTGGGTATGCCTAGTTAGATTTTTCTTTTGTAGTGAAGATAAGATGTGCAGATGAATACTTGTATTTTGATCAAAATACTAGGAGAACTGTCAAGGAGATGCTAAGAAGGAATTCTGTACAAATCACTGTGCTCTTCAGAACTATCACTCAAGTGGTGAGTGTTCTAAAACAGGGCATTTTTTTTAAATAAACAACATGAATTTTGCGCTCGTGAAAGGTGCCAGATTGACAGCCCTAGAGACTGAACCCTTCTATTTATCCACAGAACAGGTACAGCACAGACAGCAGCACTGCGAGCTTCCCCACAGTGTCTCGTCAATATGTCTCAACCCTGTTCTGGAGGAACCACCTATTGAGGTGAGAAGGTAGTTCAGTCTCTTCATGACCTGTCAATCCTTGGCCTGACTGCTGAGACTGCCAAGCAGGGTGTCAACTAATGCTAACTGTGATGTAAACCTGTAGAAGCTGGACTTGAAACATTCAGCAGATTTTATGTAACGTGTGATACATTCCACACATTTGATGGTGCTCCAGTTGCCTTTTTGCTTTAAGTGACATAGGCTGAGGTCAAGGGATTGACTTTGAATCTGAAGCCTCTGTATACCATTGCAAGTACTCTAATGTTTTGGTACTGTTGTGTATGTAAGAGGACATTTGTGTTAAAATCAGTCTAGGCAAGGCCCTCAGTCTACATCTAAATAATCATGCTGACTCCCCACAGTCCCTTTTTTCTCCGTAGTTTAAGGGATAGCTATAAATGTCATATGGTATGAATAGCGGAAATAGGTTATATAAATATGTATTATGCTAATGTTTACCCTTAGTCTACAAAATTAACTAATTTACCGAATTTTGTGCATATTATAAAACGCTTACTGTCCATCCCCTTTTCCTCTTGGCACTGCAGCTTCTACTTAAGGTCCTTGTGAGCTAATACAATGTTTAGACACCAATGCTTTAAAAACTTGCTTTCCTTTGCAAAAATAGTAGGAAATTGGGTAGATAATAAATTGTATAGATTAATTTGCTGTCTACGGTGGGACAGCACTTAATAACACTAGGAAACAGGGAAAGTGCTTTGAAATTTACAAAAGTAGAATGAAGCTGGATGTTTCCTAAGTTCCAGAAAAGAAACCTGCTTCAGCAACTCTGCAGTTTGAGAGATTCATCCAAGCTTAGCCTTTTATTTTATTTATGGCTTTGAGGCTGTTTCTCAGCTACAATGAATTTTTCTACAGCAAACAAAATCTCGGTACTGGTGCTTCTATGGGTTTTTTTTGTTTGTTTTGTTTTCTTTTCTTTTAATACAAGAAGCTGAAACAAGGATATGTAAGACTAGTCTCATGATTTGAGAAATTTTCTTTGCCAAATTTTAGATACTATCTTGAGATAATCAGATCAGTTTTACCTTCATACTTAACTGAGGAAAAAGAGGTTTGTGTATATGTGTTTAATTTTAAAGCATTTATTCATATTGGTAAGTACTTAAGGCCAGTGTTAGTACCGATGAAGCAATGCAACTGAGCTTATAGGTTTTTTTCCTGGTTATTCTATATTTTTATTTCTGTTTACATGCACACCTCATGTAACACTTCTGAAGACTGGGAAGGTACATTTATTAGGTAGCTGCTATGCTGACTTTCAGGATTCTGGATAATGGCAGAGTGATTGTTTTAATTCTTCATCCCCTGATGTTTCAAATTGCTATGATATCCCCTCCTGAATCCAGTCTAGAAAATTAGCTATAATTACTGTAATGACAGCTAATTGATTTCCCTGAGCCTTTCCTCTGACACGTTGTCTTTCATCTGCAGACCCATTCTGAAGAGAGACCATTCCAGTGTGAGGAATGCAAAGCCTTGTTCCGAACCCCATTCTCTCTACAAAGACATCTGTTAATCCATAACAGTAAGTGCTAAGTCAGAGAGGAAAAAGAACTTCCTCAGTTCTCGCATTTGACTGAGAAAAACAGACATATGGCACCTTGCTCCAATATGCAACTTGCTATGTTAAATTAGTATTAAGATTCAACTCTAATCCCAGGGAGTTAGAAAATTCAGAGCCAAATTCAAACCTTGTCTTTAAATGAACTTAAATGCAAATCCAAATATGCTGTAGAAAATCTAGCAATGATTTGAGGTCTAATGACAAGAGATTTCTTTCTGTGTTAAGTGTGATAGTGTTACCTCCATTTTAAGGAAGGAGAAATGGAAGCAAAGATAACTTCGTGGCTCACTCAGCTTTTGTAGGTAATCCGGTTTAGAGCTTGAAACTGAGATTCTCTCTCCAGTGCCAGTCCAGGCTTATGTTTCCTGCCTCTGGCATAGAACTAGCAACCCAGAGGAATGTTGTGGCCATTTTCCCTCATGAGTAACTTGTTCTTGGCATTCTGTACTGTTTTTTAACTGGCTGTTTAAAGATTTATTTTTTGGTGGAATTTTCTCCGTCTTTAATATTTACAGAGCCCTAGACTACAATTCAACCATGTGAATGTCAGCAATTTAGATTTTAGAAAATATTAATGGCCTAAAATCCTTGTAGCTTAGAAGATGGTGCTTTGATTTGGGTAATATTTACATTGGTTTAATTAAAAAAAACACAAATCTTTCTTTTTTTTAATCCAGTATAACAGTGTTTCTGTTAGATGATGAATTAGACCGGTGTGTTTAGTTTGTTCTTTTACAATTATCTTTCAAAGCTTCTGCAATTTCACAAAGCATTGAATTTTGTAAAATCTTTTTCCAATGTTAAATGTTAAAAATGATGGGGGGGAAGTTAAAAACCTGTGTATTCTAATGAACCAAGTATTTGCAGGATATCTGAAAGCAGTAATTCACAGTATGCAGAATTGTAGGCCTTGGTAAAGGTCTCTCTAAAAACATATACTTTGACTTTTTTTTTCAAGAGGATGGGAGCTCAGGAAATTTGAGGTCTCTGAGTTAGGCTTGATTTGTGGGCCCTCCCCCCCCCCCCCCCCCCGCCACTATTTAAGCAAATATTCAATATATCAGCCTGTGAACTGCAGTGGCACAGACATTGTCTAGTCAGTCTTCCTTGGTGCAAAAGGAGACATGTCTTGCTGAGGGACAGAGTAGGTGTTTGAAGGTGGTAACTCCTGCCATCTTAGCTAGAACTGTCTCCAAAATGAGTCAAAGCCTTAAACCAGTAATATTTGGTATTTTTATTAATCACAGGGAAGATTTTTAAACCTTTTTTTTTTTCTTACTTTGGAGAAAAAAACCCAACAACTGACCAACCTAACAAGGAGGCCTTAATACAGCAGAATATAAGCAAAGCTTTTGTAGTCATACTGCATCTCTCTTGTCTGTAGTCCTATAAAAGAAGTGTTGACAGACCAATAGCAAAGTGAAAAGTGAAAGTCGTTACTAGGATGAACTGAAGAATAAACAGTTTTCAGTTCAAGGCTGTGATCAAAACAAGGGGCTCTGCTGTTGTCTGAGAAAAGCTTCCGTTCCCAGTGAAGAAATGTAGAACTCTTCCCCTCATGACCTAACTCTGAGCCTGACAGTTTGTGTTGCCATCATAATGAGTTTCTCATATTTGAAATAACTCAGAACGACCTAACACCTAACTCTGAGCCTGACAGTTTGTGTTGCCATCATAATGAGTTTCTCAAATAACTCAGAACTCAGAATTACAGGCGTTGTCCTGCTACAGCTGGATGATAGTCCCTCTCATAGCACTGAAATATACCTGTTCTATAAAGAAAGGAGAGAAACAAACCAGAATCTCTAGATGTATTTAGCTGGCTTTACTGTTCTGTGCTGTAGGAAAGAAAAAATTGTTTGTGAAGCTTGAAACTTCTAGGAAAACATTAAAGTTCAGCTTACATCATCTATTTTTTTAAATTCAGTATCCCCTTGTTGTTTTAGAAGCAGGCACTCTGCAGAATGATGTAGAATGACTTAAATTTTATTTCACAAACTTAATTTACTGGAAAAAAATATATTTCATAGACTCACTTTTCAGGTGTTCCTGTCTTGAAATTGGAAAAGGTGTCACGGATATAACTTTCAAAATTAAAGATCAAATATGTCTAACTAACAAATTATTAAAAAAAAATAAAAATCCAAACTTCTTTTTCTCCTAGGTTCTAGCTGTGTAACTTGTCTTCTGAGAGTCAGACAAGCTTTTTCTCTTAGGCATGCTGCTGATAATACTTTTAGTAACTGTGTTCTCATTATGTCATTGGCAATGCTGGGGCTAAACCCTTTATTCTCAGCTGTAGTGTTTAGGAAGGATGTATGATACATGATAAGTGTATGGTAGCTCATACTTGGCTAATACTAGCTCATGAGGCCACGAGAGACCTGGCTAACACAAATGAGTAACCCTGAGCATTTTCGCTCGGATCATTCAGTTGTCTAGGATTGTGGAGACATGCATGAACAGGATTGCATTTGCTGAGAAGGACATCATCCTTTTTATGTATTTGCTTTCCAGGGTAAAAATCTACAAGCAGAATGTTTGTTAGTAAGAGAAATACTAATTAGCTCCTTCTACAGGGGTCAGCAGAAGTGGGCACTGAAGATTGTTCATTTCAAGTAAAGCACAAGTAACCCTGATTTTCACGATCTTGTTTTGTCTTAAGGAGAGTGCATCAGTGGAGTAGATAAAGCCAGTCCCAGGAAAGACACTCAAATTATGTCGTGTATTTCTGGGGGAAAGCACCGTAGGATATATTATGTCAGTGCTCTCTTTCCATCTTTGGAGGCATTTATGGATATTGATACCGTAATTTCATGTCAAGTACTCTGAAAAAGTTTCCTTCCTTCAGTGGTTTCAAGAGCTGAAGTCGATATTCTTGTTTACTTCCATTCTCTAGGGTGCCTAGGCCTGAAGAGAATCTATGTATATCTCTTGCTATTTTATTTTGTAACAAACCTCTTGATCTAGCACAGTGCAAACCTGTTGACCGAAAACACATAATGGAAATTCTTTCTTTATTTCTCATACATTAATATTAGAAATTTATTTCGTAACTTTAATATTAGTCTTATCTGCCAAAGGCAATGGAAAAAGTTTAGTTTTTGGCAGTGATAGTTCTTAAGCAACAGACACATTCTTACATTTACCATATGAAATCTGTTTGCTCTTTATCACAACAATGAGGTGTCATGAAATAGGTTGCATAGGTCTGTTTTTTCCTGCAGTCTTCTACAAGAGGATTTCCAGAGCTGCTCAGGGAGTTTTAGTACTCGCATCTTGTTGCAAGTGATTTAGACTTTTGCTTTATGTCGTTGAGGAACCTTCCGAAACTCCTTCCGTAGTTGTGTATTAATGGTATTTTTTTCATTAAATTTTCATGTATCTTTGTCTATGGCTTTAAAAAAAAAAAGACAAGACATAAAGACTGTTCAGTGAGCCATCTGTGAGTGGAGACAGTGTTCTGATGGCTCTTCTATGATGAGATCTAAGATTTCTGCTAAATAAGGAAGCTGAGGAGAAACACTGATTATTTGCCTTCATCCAGGATAACATTTGAAAAAATACCCAGTTCTAGGCTTGCCATTACTTTGCATGTTGAAAAATTTTGCTAAACTGAAGCCAGGACTTGGCTAAGTACATATTTGGCATTGCAACTATATGTAGTTGAAGAGTATTATAATGTGTACACACAGAGGAGATACGGTTGAACAGTACATTAGTTCTGAAATTCCCTGACACTGGAGGTTATATTTGAACCTATTGGTTGGTTTGATATTTTATTACCTTATTATTTTTTGTTGTTGTTTGAAAGTCATTTATCTTCTCAAATCATAATGGAAGTGCAGTACTGAAAATGATAGGAATGATTGCAAACAAAACTTTAGGATAAAAAGGACAAATCTTCCTGAAACTCAACAAATGTTGAATCGTGTCTTAAACCATAATGATATAATGTAAATTTATGGAAATCATACAAATATTTCTTACTTCAGAAGACATGGCAATTTGTTCAAATTATGTCTAGTATTGCTTCATTTTTTTCAATTTATTTCACTCAGAGCTGCTGAGTTATTAAGAGAGACTCCCAAAAAAAAAAAAAAAAAAAAATCCATGAAGCCTAGAAATTCTTATTAGAAGTAACTTTTAAAAGAAATTACTTGAATATTTTTCCTTTGTTGAAGCAGTAGAAAATTGCATGCTCCTTTAGTAAAAATAGTAATGACTTCACTTTGTTAGCTGGGTAGTCTCGTGTTCCCAAGATGAGGACTGAAGTGATTCACTGAACAGTTAGAAGCAGTATCAGTGTTAAACCTCCACATAACAGCATATTAAATTGCATCCCTGTTGACCCTGAATTTTTTTCTGAATAGCTACACTGGAAGTATTTTAGCATAAGGCAACTTACACTCTAATACCTTTTAGCATATTCTTCTTGTGTCATCCAAGACAAAACCATTTTTGTTTCCAAACCAACAGAGAATGAGAGGTTTGGGGGGGGCAGTTATGGTTGATTTATGGGGGAGAGAAACAGGTTATCTAGGCTTTGGAATGTTTGTGGGTACTTGAGGCACCACTGTATTGATAAGCTTCGCTTATACGTATCACATGTATAATATATAATAAAAGTTTTTTGGTGGCTCAACATGTAGCATCAAATGGGCTTTAATACACAGCGTACTGAAATCAATTTCCATTCATATTGGCCTTTGCACTGGGACCAAGGCTGGGATGATTTTATCCTTTAATGAGCTATAGCAAGGAAGTAAGTGTACCTCTACATATGCATCATTGCTACTGGAAAAAGTAGCTTGTGCTTATACAAGTCTGTATCTTATCCATATGGATCAGGAGGCTGCAGATCAGACCTCTGTCCTGAAAAATAAGAAGTGGAGGATAGTCCTTAGGTTATGGTGATCTTTCTTCATGATGTAACTGCTTGGAAAGTTTTCTGGGATATGGGCACCTGACTTCCAGTTTAGACTGTGGATTTCTGAATGAATGCCATGTTGCAGATGTTTAACTTGTGATTTTAATAAAGAAGTTAACAAATAGAAGAAATATTCTCTTCTGCATTCACAGTAATGATAAAGAGAAGGTTCATTGTAATGATTTCTCTGAAGAATCACGTCTTTTTTTTTTCTCTCTCAAAAGATGTATGCAGATTTTCAGAATACAATGTCTCTTCCCCTCTCTTAGGTAGTTCATTGAATTTTAAAACTATTAGCAATATTAACCTGGCCTCTGCCATAACCTTCAACCACATCACCACAGTTTGAATAGTAATACTGCTATAACACTTAAAAGTTACTTCCTCTTTGTCATACGAGTTTGCCTCTATTGATGTGAACGAGGTAGGTTACTCAAAGCAAGTATTTCTTGTTTTGAGAATTCTTGTAAATTCAGGAAGATGTCTCTTACCATTTAAGTTTCAAAAGATGAAGCCTATTTAATCTTTTTGCTTGTTACGATAAAGAGGGTCTGTTACTGGAGGTGCTGGTAAAGCCTGTGCCCCGTTTCACTGGAAGTCATTTCCACTGGTTGCCGTTTCACCTTTGGCTATAGAGTTTAAGCTCACATTTCTGGCGACGTTGCAGTGATGACTACTTCCTACTTTCTTAATTTCCCAATGATATTTTTACCTGATGTGGTAATTTATTTTCTTTCTGTTCTCAGGACCCAGCTTTTCATTTGTCTTTGTTGCTTTTATTCATTTTTCTGAACCAATAAGCATTAGTGTATTTCCACAAAAATCTGCTATCTTGAAACCTTGTTTTTCTCTTCATAAGGTGAGAGGACCTTCAAGTGTGATCACTGTGATGCTACTTTCAAAAGAAAGGACACATTAAATGTTCATATTCAAGTTGTACATGATGGACATAAGAAATACAAGTGTGATCTCTGTGACAAAGCTTTTGTGACACCCTCAGTCCTGAAGAGTCATAAGAAAGTGAGTAGAATCAGTTCTATCATATTCATTCCTTAAGGTTGTGACTAAACATAAAATTCCCAGATGCTTCTGCATTTCTGGCTTTTCGGTAGAAAGCTGTGATGGTGCTTAACATTCTAAAATGCTTATTGCGATAGTGGGGTTATTGGTGGCATGCAGAATCTGCAGCGGGTGCATATGTATAAATCCAGCGTAGGTACTCCAGCATCAGGTGTGTAGCAGGATGGGACTTGCTGCACTGCTCTTACCATACTCCTTTCCACCGATCTCTGCAATGGAATTGGGGTAAACTTTAGAAGAAAGCTTTCTCACTAGTTTGACCTGAGGTAAGATTTATGTTACAGGGAAGAAATGTGAAGAAAATAATTGAACCAAGAACGAATCAGCTGAGGAAAATCAGCTAAGGTGTAGCAACCAAATGCAGACTGTGAGAGTTTGTTGAAAAACATCATGCATATATTATTTGGCATATAGTATGCACTTCATATATGCATGTAAAATTGTAATAACAAAACTGAGTGTAACTGAGTTACTTGGTACAACATTTTCAGCACATGATTATGGTAAGTATTGTGCATTACAACACAAATCTGTAGTTAAAATTGAGGGAAAAATGTAAGGGAGTCTTTCAATGTCTATCCAACCCTACTGTGTCTTACAGGTGCGGGAATTAGCACACGTCTTTGGAGCCTAAATCAAGTTATTGGCAGATAGCAGACTATTGAATTCTCTAATGTAATGGACAACACTGCCTCCTTAATATGTGTTTGATTTCTAACATGTTTACAGATTGAAAAAAGTAATGGAACCAACTAGGAACAAAGTCTCTTCCGTTTCTTTTGTGGTCTTTTAAAGGTCTTGATCTTCCATTAAATGTATGTTAATGCATTTGCTGTCTGTCTTTTGTCTTCAGTCTGTTTTAAATGCTGCTTGTCTCATATTTAATATGCATTAAGTTACTTAGTAATTATAGTTGCTGGAAAGTAAAGTTTCTTGTGATTGAGTGACATAACTGTATAACCAAGATGTATTTCTCCCAGATACACTTAGTGGAAGATTTTCGCCTGTACTTTAGAAGAACTAGAATGACATGGGGTTGCCTTGTTTGTAGATTTCAGTACATGTACTATAAGATGATTGAGATTCAAATAACCTGGTTCATCAGTTGTTGTTCAGCCTGTGAAATCAGCTGAATTTTGCTGTAATAGCGAGAGAAATTTATGTTGTAGGATACTCTTCCTCTCTTCTCTAATAACTTCTAGAATAAGGAATATTAAAGGACATTTTTTCAAGCCTCCTCTCTTCTCTAATAACTTCTAGAATAAGGAATATTAAAGGACATTTGTTTTTCAAGCCCGAATATATTGGTCTAAGGAACTCAAAAATAAAGGGTAGACAAAATAAACTTGCGATTTGTTTCTGATTATGTTCTGGGGGGGCAAGACCTTAGGAAGGCATAGTATCTTTCATTAGACAAACTGATTGGTTTGGAAAAAACAGACTGTTTTTCAGACACACAATCCTTTTCATCCTTATCTACTTGTTTTAATCACTTCAGTAACAGACCTAGCCTATAATACTGATACATTGATTTGAGATGAACTTTTTGTGAAGGATCTTGCCAAGATGGATCGTAAGATCCAAAAATCAAAAATATTACCTGGAATCATTGATGACCTCTGCATAAATTTTTAAACTTCTGTTCCTCAGATTGCTTTCTAAAAAATTCAGTATGACTTACTATTTCACGTTAAAAATGGCCATATACATATCTGTATTTGTATTTTAATGGAAAGCAGCTACTGTTTATCATTGATTCCTATTCTTTCTTTGACATTCCTTCTTAATTGTAATTGCTATTGCTTTGTGCTGCTGTCAGACTAGGACTAGCTGTAGTTTGTGAGCCTTGTAGTTGTAATGAATTGCTCCTGGAAATCGTTTTGGGTTTTTTTTTTTTTTTTTTGGTTGTTTGGAATGAATTAATAGCTGTCTGTCTGGTGTCCCCCAGTGTTGCTGTTAGAGGTATAAGTGATTTCTAAAGAACTCTATCCTAATCAAGAAGGATTTAACGTTCATATCCCTAATGTCAGGGAATGAAAACTATGCAAGTCCGTCCAGTATTGAAATTATATCTCATTTACTCTTCCTTCAGCTGCATCGTAATATGTACTATGTGAGATAAGGTTTTTATGATGTAATGAAGAGTTTTATATCACTTCAATGTCTTTCATAAAAATAAGAATTAATTTCCCTATCTGAAGAGAGCCATGTGCAAAGCTTGAAAGCCAAATTGTCAGCTGTACATATAATTTAATGTGTTATCTTTCCTATCCCATTTAAATTAGGTTAACACTTATAAATGAAGTAATCCAAAATTTTCCACTAAAAAAGCAGTCGCAGTTGTAAGGAAAAGTTATTCAATAGGCTGATAAATCTTCAGTTCAGAATTGGGCGTTGAAAGTACAGTGTGAAAAACGATGAGAACTCCTGTATGTAACTTACTTCAAGGTGGTCTTGCTGTTGACCACACAGGTTGGATGGGAGAGTTTGTGGTTTGTTTTTTTTTTTTCCATTTTGGAATAATAATTCTTACATCAGCAACACACTCTAGCCTTAAAAGCTTGATTTCAAAAGACAAGCTCAGTGTATGATTTAGTGTTAGTGTCAATTACGATATACTTCTCGTGATCAATTCTCTAAATGCAATCTGATTCTAGTATTTATTACAAACTAGATAGGATCCAGTATGCAATTTGTGTTAACTGAAATCACTGAGAACTTGCACCTTGAAGGGTTGTCGTCTGTCATACTTCAGATGAACTGATGGCTGAGTTCCATTCACATGAGGCAGTCAGAAATCGTATGCACAGATCTCCATAGAGACCTTTTAAAGCTCCAGTTCAAGTTTGCAACAGGAAAAGTTATACTAGGTTAGGTAAACTACTTTCACTACATTTCATAATGCAATAAATTCCTGTGGAATTATAAGCTTTTAAAAATAGACCCATTTATGAAGATTAATTTTATTAGGTAACCAAATTACTGTTCGCTGGTTTAGAAACCACTCTCGCAGGTATCAAACTGAAAAATAGGTGTCTTATTCTTGCAATCATGAAAACACAAAGGTGTGAACTGGGCATTTTTAATAGTAACTATTTAGGAAATAGTAAACTTAGGAACTGAAAAGCCAGTTTATTTTGCCATTAATAATGAGCTTTGTTTAGAATTTTTAGAAGAAAATTGAAAGAACACCTACAATTAATTCCTTAGAATCTTTGCCTGGTGTGATGGTATAAAATAGATAATGGAGCAATAGTGGTCAATGTCAATACAGTTAAAATATTCCGTATTTCACTTCTTCTAAAGCTGTGCTGAAGCTTTCGTTCTTGTCTTTCCACACCCCATGTAGACTCACACAGGAGAAAAAGAGAAGATTTGCCCGTATTGTGGACAGAAGTTTGCAAGCAACGGAACACTGAGAGTTCATATTCGAAGCCACACAGGTACAGTGTTTATTGTAATGAACAGAAGACTTTCTAAATATATAACAAGGTATCTGTAAGTATGTCCACAATTTGTCTATCTACAAACAGAAATGCTGGCAAGACCCAGAATCACAATACAGCTGTTCTGTCCATTCCTCCTCTTTATTCTTGTTCTTTCTTCTACAGCTTCACCTTATCAACTCCTTTCAAAGTCCTTCCTGCACAATCTCACCTGTTCTGTCTTTCTCCTCGGTCCCGTAAGCTGTGGGTTTCTCTTCTTTTTTTGACTTCCTGAAGATGCAGAGAAGAGGAAGAAAAAAAAACCCCAACACTCATGGAGCATGTGGTATGAGGATTTAGAGAACGCTTGGGGACTGTGCCTTTTGGAAGGACCAACCACTTACCCACCTGCGCTGTACTTTAATGAATCGGGTAGACAGGAGTAAAAGGAGCAATTCAATAGTATTGTTAGTCACTCAGCACATCAGTCCAGGCTTCTAGGAATATGACTGCCTCGATTTCTAATCTGTGTTAACTTTTTTATGAAGTTATTTTGCTGTTTTAATTATGGACATTTCTTTACCTTCACCTTGCCGTGCCACAAGGAACTACATCACCCTTTAATTTTCTGATAGTTTGGCATACTAGGCTTTCATGAAAACTATGACTATTATAGATTTTTTTTTTTTTTCCAATGCTTAAGCAATATCAAAATGTTACTCTAATTCTTCATGAAAATCTCTGGATTCATATTCCAATGTTTTTTGCAGGCAAGTCTGCTTTATTCTTTTACTAATGTGGTGCTTTTGGGTTTTTGTATTTCACAGGCCTTTTCCTTAAACTTTAGGTATGTTTTCTGTGTACTATTGATGTTATTCATCAGTTTGCACAGAGTAGAAAGGCCCTAGTTTTTCAAGTTGATAGTGCAGATAGCTCTTGGGAAAATGCTTTATAGCTGTCTGAGTGAAAATGCTTTTCACACATGTGCTGCTACCAGATACATTTAATGTTTCAGCTCTCTCAAGCAGGCTTTCCTAAATTTAGGAGTTAGGCTAAGGTGAATTTCATGAAACCACACACCAGAGACCTCTAACCTTGACTATAGAGCCTTGCAAAATTTGTAGCCACTATTATACGAGAAATGGTAAACTGTGACATTTTGAACTTACTTGAAGTAGAAAGGCACTGAAGATTTCCAGTACATTTGTAAATTAAATATAGTGGGAGAAACTACCTTGACAGGAGATGATACAGGTTGGAATTGTGGAAATATGCAGGGTGAAAACAACTTATGAAAGTTGCAGAACTTTCCCTCCCCTGCAGAAGGAGGGAAAGTTTCAAGGCCTCTTTCTTCACCTAAAAAGCTAGAAGCACTCATTTTAAAGAGAGTTACTAATTCAGGAAAAATGCCTTGGTAAATTCATTTATAATGACCTGTGATAAACTCTGATCCTTTCCTCTTCCAGTCTAGCTGCTATTGTGATGTCAATCATATTTTTGGTGGAGAATTTTGTGATTCACATCCTTCACTGTGAGAATCAACTGAAATACATTTTCATGGTTGTTTTTGAGTCATTCTGTTATGATTCCTGACCATTTCTTGATTATCCTGATGAAATGGAGGGGGGTGGGGTGGGGTGGGGGTGGAGTTGCTGCTAAGTTGTGACTTGTGGTTTAAAAAAAAAAAAATCTGTAAGTTATAAGGCAAAATGCCTTATGTGAGGTTTAGTGAGAAAATGCCATAGTTAGATTCACGTTGTACTTCTGGAGAGGTGGTTTTGAGTTGTGCTGTACCTGAAGACTTCAGCCAAGTAGTTCACAATCATAATATGTGCAGACTAATCACAAGAGGAAATTGTTGTCCAATGTTCAGTGGGCCTGAGGAAGCATAGCTTTCTGAGGAATAGCTTGCATCATTTCCTAAGCAAGTAAGGGTAGTTGCTGAAGGGAATCTGTGTCATCTGCAAACAGTACAAAAAAAGTTGAGTATTCATTTAATGGCTTTTAGTATTAAAGTTCACTGTATCATGAAAATCCTTGACAACTTTTCAGGGATTTTCTGAGCTGTAAGAAATTTTCAGTTCATCAAACAGTGGAGCCACAAACATATTTTATTCAGCGATGGATGTTTGGTTTCTAAATGTTGCAGTGTTGAATACTTCATGCTCTTGGTATCTATTAAATTCTGTGGTTTGAATTAATCAATTCAAAACTGTGCCCGCTTTTTTTTTTTTTTTTTTTGGTCAGACTTCAAAGTATCACTTTTCATACTGAGCTAGAAGTGAAACAACCAGCCACTGTCCGTTTTCTCAAGAGATGACTCATCTTTGTGGATAAGCCTTCAGCTGGGGCTAAACTAAATAGTGTAAATATTGCGAAGACCTTCATGTCTTAGTGACTACAGCTGATTAGGTTTGAGGTCCTGGTGCAGACATTTGTGTTATCCCATCTTCTGTGCACATGGTCAGCTAGACTTTGTTTTATTAGCTACTTTGTATAAGAGGCTTTGTTCTGTATTTACAACATAAAGCCAGGCAGAGTTTGTTCTTAAAGAGAGTTGTGTATCAATTTTTATCCTTTTTTTATTTATAAAGCTGTTCTTTATAAAAGTCGAGGTTCTTGGGTACCCTCCTGGGTTCTGCTTTGGAATTGTATTTTTGATATGCTTAACAATCCATATACAAAAAGAGAAGCTTAATGGGATTTTGGCTTTTATTTAATACGCAGCATGTGTTCTCAAATATTGTTACTCACAGAGGTATGCATGCTTCCTTGATAAGAAATTTTCTTCCCTCTTTTATCTTAGAGTAAGACTCTGTAAATGAGCCCTAACAGTACTTGGCCTTTTGCAGAAACTGAGCTGGTTTGGGGTGAGTGAACATGTCTGCATGTGCACGTATAGAGGGAAGGGGTTGATGTTTGTATCTGAACTAGCATATTGCTCTGTAATTCATCATCTGGGTTTCCAGCCTTGGCATGACAGAGACAGCGCTCTGTAGGTCAGCTGAAACACTATAGCACATTCTCCCTCTGCTGTATCCTGTTGGTTTATGACTTCTTAGGGTCAGAGGGAGCTGGGGTTAATTCAGCAAAAGAATCCTCTGACTGCGATATAAATTCCTTGGCTTGTTCATAAATTGTAAAAGAAATTCTATGGTCTGCTCCTCAGGCTTGAGAACTGGGGGCCAGGAGGTTAATTACTTCCCTGAAGTTTCAAGCAACTTTCAGTGTTAACAGTTACTGGCTGCAGTTTGTGCAGCGCCTTATACATAGGTATTTAAATATGTTAATTGCTGTCTTATGTGTGTGTATGTATGTATTTGTGTGTGCCTATGTAATATATATATGCACACACACACATTTTATCTGTCTGATATTTATACTGTTGCTTTCCTAATTACTTGTCTTCATACGTGTCTTCCAGAAGATGCTTACACATGCAAACATAGGTTAAAACGTAACCTTATTTTGCTTTTTCCATCGCATTTAGTCAAAGTCCTGATAAAAAGCCAGTAAGATATCTATGACTTTACATCTGTCCTAAATGTTTTCTGAAAAGATTAATGTTTCGATTCTATACCATTTAAAAGCCGTGACTTAATGTGGCATTTTTACATGTTACATTCTCCGGTATGTGGAAAAAGTGGCTTTATTTTGTAAGCATGAATTAAGAAGGTTCTTTGTAAATTTGCTTCCATATACGTGACTAAAAGATAATACCAAGAGATTACATTAAAACAGCAAAAAGCATTCATACTGTGGACTTCTATATCCTTCGTGTCAACGCAATTAAGCTTACCTTTTCAATTTCCATTTCCATAATTAAAGACTGTTTTATAAGCTCGTGAAAACATTTCATCATACTTGTCCCCTATAACTTTAGGTGCCGATTGCCTTCTTGAGATGTCTCTCATCCTCTGCATTGAGAGCCTGATGTTATGGTCCTAACTTTGCCACTGTAGTCACATTTCTACAATTTGATTAACTAGGCATTTGAGCATATTTAAAGTCATATTTAAGGTCCGACTATATAAACATCTAGGTCCAAATTTTGCACTTTCATGTAAAAATTCCTAAGTAACCAAGCAAAATATTAATTGTGGAGTTATAATAAAAATCTTTGGTTATTAACAGTAGTTCAATCATCTACGAACATGACTTAAAAGTAGTTGAAGGAAGTAATGAGTTGAAGTACAGTATAACTCTTGTTTATTACTGTGTAAAATATGTCCCCAAAGTTTTTATAGCTAAACAGGCAACTGTTTGTTCATGTACATAAGAAATAATGTACAGCCAGGATCCTCATTCTAGCAAATCTTCTGGCAAATTACCTTATAAGTAATTTATATTTTCTTACATTAAAAAAAAGATAAAAGGGTAGCTTGAAGGAACTTCCTCTCATATCACAATGAAGTATGTGAAAAAATGTATCTGTATCTAGTCAGTGAACAGCTTGCAGATGTCTACAGATAGGTTGTTTCTATTCAATAACTTATAAATGATCTCTCTTTTATCTACCGAATTTAAAAAGGAGCTTGCAGAAGGCCTCAAAGGTAAGGATTCTGCATTTCTAAACCTTTCAGTTTATACATCATTGTCCTATTTATCTCCAGACAACAGTTAAATCTTTAAAAGTACCTGTAAAGTTTCATGCAGCTGTCAGCTTCTTGTTGTCTGCTTCCATGAATGAAGAAATGTTCTTATAAGGGATAGATTATTTGAATGCTAGTGACATCTTTAGATCAAATGAATTACTGATTGATTAATGCATCTACTTTAAAAGATTTGGTTGACCATTGGGTTCACTGAAGTCATAGATGTTAATGCTCCATTCATAGGGAAACCAAATTGCTTAATTCTACTGATAGATGCAAAGAATGAAACTGTTTTATTCTTTAAAGTAAGTGTGTCGGGGTTTTTTTGGTGACTAAAATCTTAATACCACTGTCGAACTGATGAGAGTCTGTAAGTAATAATGGTAGTTATTTCATGCTTTACTGTACAGATTCAGATAGCCT